CTTCTTCCTATTTGCCACCCACTAGTGTTGTCTTAAAGTATTTAACACTTGTCCAAGATGTTCTAGATACTCCTCCCACGCTTGACTATATATCAGGATATCGTCAAAGAATACCAACACGAACTTCCTCAGGTATGTCTTCAACAAATCATTCAGCGTATTCTGAAAAGTGGTTGGCGCGTTGGTGAGGCCAAAAGGCATAACAAGAAACTCATAATGTCCTCGGTGTGTCCTAAAGGCTGTCTTCTAGACATCTTCCTCCCCTATGTGAATCTGGTGATACCCAGCCTTAAAATCCACCTTCGAGAAGTATCTCGCCCCCTTAACTCATCCAACAACTCCTCTATGACGGGTATGGGGAATTTATCTGGTATGGTGGTGTGATTCAGAGCTCTGTAATCAATGCAGGAGCGCCAACTTTCATCCTTTCTCTTAACCAACATCACAGGACTCGCGCTAGGTCGTATTATCCCTGCCTTCAACATCTCGGCAACCTGATTCTATATCTATTCTTTTATCAAGTGAGGATATCTATAAGGGCGGACATTGACAAGATCAGACCCTCCTTGAGCATGATTCGGTGAATCACGTTGCAGGCTAAGGGTAGGCCCCTGGGTTCATTAAACACCTCTACAAATTATGCTAAAACCCGTTGCAACTCCTCTGCCTGGCTCCATGTTAACCCATGATTGGTTCCTTCTTGCTCTGGATTTATCTCTGAATTCCCCAAACTCCACACCAACGTAACCGCTTCCACCTCTTTCATTTTCTACAAAGCTTTTGGCTCCACTATTTTTCTCGCCAGCGTGAGGTCCCCTTTAATCGTCACTACATTCTCTCCCTGATTATAGACCATCGTTAATTCTCCCCAATTGATGGTCACTTCCCCCAGTTTAGCCGCCCATTCCACCCCCAAAATGAGGTCGACTCCTCCCAATTCGAACAAGTAAAAAGGCTCCACTACCTCCGTGTCACCTATATTCACGGAGACGTTCCTGCAGCACCCTTGTGTTTGCTTCTTTCTGTCGTCTCCCAGACTCACCCGATACGTCAGGGTATCCTCCACGGTCAAACCCAAATCCTCCACCAACTCTTTTGCTATAAAGTTGTGACTAGTGCCACTGTCAATGAGGATCATCACTCTCCTCCCCTGACCCAACCTTGTAACTTCATTGCCTTGTGTTTAATGAGTCCTCTTGCGAAAAACGATGACAATTCCATTTGTTTCTGCTCCACTTCCTGTGCATATTCTTCCTCTTCTTCACCTTCGACTTCGTCTTCCCCCAAGATCACCACCCTCCAACTTCTCTCTGGACATTAGTGCCCTAGGCTATAAGGGTTGCCACAGTGGAAACACCGCCCCTCTTCCCTCCTCTTGATGTACTCTGGGTAGGGCAGATTTCTCACCCTTCTACCGCGAGCGTCGCTCACCGTATTGCTTCCTTCTTTGGATGTCATTGTTCCTAGAGGACCCTCCTTCCTGGTCGCTCCCGCGTTCTCCGCAACCCCTTGTCGTCCTTGACCCTTTTGAACGATTCCAACCTCGCTACCGTGCTTGTGCCTCCTTGATATCACCCCAGGACTAGCCGCCCTAGGTGACGGTCCCTCCGATCGTTCTCGTGCCTCGACTCGCCTTCTGCACATCTCGCGCGACTTCCATAGCCGTCAACAAATCCCTTGGATTATGAGGGCGGATTTGACTCCTTATTTCCCCTTGCAAGCCCACGAAAAAATATCCTAGGGGTTGGTCCTCTGTAACGCCCTTCATTTGCACCACTAACATCTGAAATTCTTGGATGTATTCATCCACGGTGCCTTTCTGCTTGATCGCTGCCAACCTCTCGAATACCGTACCCCTGTCTCGACCTCTAAATCTCCTCACCATGACGTCCCTCAATGCTTCCCACGATGGTGTCTGGTCTTTGTCTTTCCCGAAGCAGAATCAGTAACTCGTACTTCCCTCCATGCAGACGTAAGCCAGCCTGAGTTTTTCCCCCTCCATCACATTCTGAATCTCAAAGAATTTCTCCGCTCGGGAAACCTATCTTAATGGGTTGATACCTTCAAGGTGGGTAAATCGATCCTATTCACCAATTTAGGTTGTGCATCGCTCCGATCGAGGCCCAATTCTGCGTCAACACCCTCTCTTCTTCCTCCTCTATTTTCGTTCACCGCATCTTGACTTCCCTCCTAATTTCTATATTCGCCCTCCAAGAATTCAAGTAAGTTCTTTGATTTTTTGGGTAATCCCATTGTCTCCGCTTTCAACCCATCCATCGTCGACTCTATTGCCTCCATTCGGCCCTCCAACACGTTCATCCTTCCCTCCATTCTTCCTTCTAAAAGACAATAAACTGAGTAATTGTGTATTGAATTTGGTAAATTGTACAGCCAAAACCTCCAAGAGAGCCAAGTTCTCCCTCCACAGGATAAGAATAATCCTGTCTATACAAAGTAAACAATTCCAAAACTAACTAATACAAGATAAATCAGCTCTTTTATATGAGCTTTGTTTCCTACCACAAACTTTTATTACGGTTACAACTCCTTAACGCCTCTTCCCCTCTTTATTCCCTTTTCTCTTCCTTTCATAAACTCTCCATATCCTATCAACTATATTAAATCTCAACGTGATTCAGTATGGTCCTGTGTTAGAGGATTAAAAGTATATGAGAAGAAAGAAGAAAGGAGGAAACTAAGAGCGAGAAAGGTGATTGTTAGTTAGTTAGTAGAGGGTCAGGGGGAGTGATACTATAAATAGAAGTTTGTTTGCTTAAGGGCAAGAATTAATTGTTTTGTACATTTTGTCTTCCCCTCTCTTCATTGTTTTGACATACACACCACAACCTACCACTCTATCTTCACTAAAAGCAGCAGCTTTTGCAACTTTACTTGGAGAAGCAAGAGTCACAACCTTCCCATCATGGTCTTCACCTGATGCATTTTCCCTACCAACATTTGTCACGTTATCCACCCTTACAGCAGCAACTTCTGCAACTTTCTTAGCAGCAGCCACACCAATGTCTCCATCACAAATTTTGTCTTTTGCACTAATATCTCTTTCTTTTTCCTTCCTAGAAAAAGCATCTTTTGCCACTACCTGAGCAACACCGACAAGATCTCCATCACAGTTTTGGAGAACCCCGTCCTCTCCGCTATTATCCATTTCTCTTGTCTTCTCCCCATCGGTTGAATTTTCCTCCATCTGAAAGTTTCTTGGTTTTCTTGATGTCTAGCAGAGTATCTTGCACAATATCCCTCCCCATTTTGCCCTCTTTCTTTCCTGTCATGGCAAATTCCTTAGTGCTTACTAAGCCTGTTATCTGAATCTTTGATATCCTACATCATTTCTTTAATTTCTTGGGTAGTTCTTCTCCATCTTGCACTACTTTGAGGAAGTCTTTTTTCCTTCTTCTCTTTCTCATTAGCCAAGTACGCTCCTTCTTCAAAGAATTTATTGGCTCTCTTGATGTTTTGCAGAAATTCCTCTTTCTCTCCCCTTCTTGCTCCATCAACAAATTTATCCCTTCCTTTTGAGTCCCTTTCTTGATTATGGTCTTCCAATATCATTTCTTTCAATTCTTGGCAATTTCTTCTAAATTCTACCATCCTCATTTTTGTTAGGAAGTTAAAAGTATGAGGGGAGGAAATTAAAGGCGGGAAAGGAGTAGTTTGTTAGTAAAGAGAAAAGAGAGTATAAATAAGAAACAAAATAGAGGGAGAAGGGGATTATCAGATATTTTCCTTTTGAGTATAGACTGGACATTTTCCAGTGGAGGAAGGGAGGCTTCCTTTGGGACGTATAATTGTATTTCTCTTAATATACTTTACAGATTCAATAATATACATAAACATACTTTTATCTCTTGCTGTTTCGAGTGTTATTATGAGAAAAGAGTGTTTTGTTTGGTCCCCTGAACAAAGGAACCTAACAAGTTTGGTCCGACCTACCGGATCTGTGTCGGAGGAGCAAGCAGAGCGCGGGTGAAGAAGAAGAATGGAGGGACAAGTGATGGCGATGGAGTCGAAGGTGAAAGAACTGAAGGCGGAGATGCGAGCATTGACTCACGAGATACGGACGTTTAACCGCGCTCACGGACGACGCTTTAGGAACTAGGATCGGAGCTTCGAAGGAAGTCGCGATTCCGTCAATGCCGAACGAGAACGGCGACCACCAGAGTCTGGAGGATGAAGCGGAAGAGGACAGAGGAGACGTGCAACGTAGCTGGATGAAGCGCGTTGAACTACCAACGTTCGAAGGAGCGGACCCCATGGGCTGGATCGCGAAGGTAGAGAAATTTTTCGATCTCCAAAACGTGACAGAGTGGGAGAAGATGAAGCTGTTGTATATCTGTATGGAGAGAGCCGCGAGCTACTATTCTATCCGCTTCTGGCGGAAGAAACGAGGCATCCGACTTGGAAGATGTTCACCAACACTCTGACATGGAGGTTTGGCGGATTAAATCAAGGCACCGTGTGACAGAAGGGGAGCGTCGACGAGTACATCCCGGAGTTTGAAATCCTGGTGCTGCAAGCATCGAAAAAACCAGATCACTCCTCACTTTCTGTCCCTGTCGATCTTGGAGCTAGCATTATAACTGGTGTTGAGGCTGATGTGGCCACTGAAGACCAGATCCTTGCGCTCAGTTGGGCCTTGAGTTGACAGTGTTGAATAGTGATTGCCCTTTTTACAACATAGTTACATAGTTACAGAACAAAAAATTCCTGCAGATTTTGATGAAGCACTTGAAGCTGAATATAACAATGAAGAAAACAGTGAAGAAACAGAACAAAACAAGTCTGCAGATAGACCTTTTGATTCCAAAAGGGATAGTTCTTAAAAAAAAGCTTGATGAGGAGATTTCGAGCCCTCAGGAGAGAAGGGTTATGGATTGGCACTTTGCTCATTTGGAGTATGGTTGTGCTGCTTCCCTTAATGATGTTTCTCTTCCCTACTGAATCAAGATGAGGTGTATGGGGGTTTTGGGGGAGCTCATTGTATGATTAAAGGGGGTTACAATTCCGTTGTTAAGTCTCTGAGAGAAGGAATTACAATTCACTTGAACCACATTGTAACAAATGTGTCATATGGTATCAAGGAACCACGTTGTAACACTATATTTCTCGGTTTGTTGAGGAGGGAGGAGGAAATTGGTATGGTTGTTGCCAAGAGCGACAGCAACAGTGAACCTTGTACTTCATACAATTGTTATAAAGTAGCAGCCTTGACTGAGACCATATTAGAGACAAGTCAAGTCTTTAATCTAAAAGATCGGTACGTTCTCGGGGAGCAATTGGGTTGGGGACAGTTTGGTGTCATAAGGCCATGTTCGGACAAGTTAACAGGAGAGGTTTTGGCCTACAAATCAATTGCTAAAGATAGGTTGGTTACTTCGGATGATTTGAGGAGTGTAAAACTTGAGGTAAAGATAATGGCTAGGTTATCTGGTCACCCCAATGTTGTGGATCTCAAAGCAGTTTATGAAGAGGAAGGCTTTGTTCACTTGGTGATCGAACGTTGTGTTGAAGGAGAGTTTTTTCATCGATTAGAGAAGCATGAATGGTTTTCAGAATCTAAAGCCAAGGTTATCTTCAGGCACCTCATGCAGGTGGTTTTGTATTGTCATGAAAATGGGGTTGTTTATAGAGATTTAAAGCCTGAGAACATTCTCGTAGCAACAAGATCCTCATCTCCTATTAAATTGGCAGATTTTGGACTAGCAACCTACATCAAGGAGCATGGTCAATGGAAGATAGTGGAAGAGGATTTGCCACCACCCAAGCCTCCAGACCTGAATTAGAGGGCAGTAACCAGTGGATTCCCTTCATATGATAACACGATGATGAAGAGGAGCCAAGAGATCCAGTTTCACGAAGCCAACCTTGAGGACAAGGTTGTTTTGCAGTAGGGTTTAATGTTAGGAAGTTAAAAGTATACGAGGGGAGGAAATTAAAGGCGGGAAAGGAGTAGTTTGTTAGTAGAGAGAGAGTATAAATAAGAAACAGAATAGAGGGAGAAGGGGATTATCAGATATTTTCCTTGAGTAGACATTTTCCAATGGAGGAAGGGAGGCTTCCTTTGGGACGTATAATTGTATTTCTCTTAATATACACTACAGATTCAATAATACACATACACATACTTTCATCTCTTGTTGTTTTGAGTGTTATTGTGAGAAGAGAGTGTTCTGTTTGGTCTCCTAAACAAAGGAACCTAACAATTTCCCTTTCGCTAGCCCACTTCTCCTAGGTATTGTCTCTTCCTTTCATGCTTCCACCTCTACCTCTATCCGGCAGGTCGGACCAATTTGTTAGGTTTCTGGATATGAAACCCACAGAAAACGCCACACGCACACACTCAAGCAAGAACACAGAGTAACAAAGAAAGAACATGTATTGTATTCCTCTCAACTGTACAATACACCCAAACCTCTAAGGGAGCCAAATTCTCCCTCCACTAGAACAAATATCAGTCTATACCCAAATGAATACAAAAATGAATAATCCCCATGTACAGACACACACACTATTTATAAAGTCTCCCTTCCCCTTCCCACTAACTAACCAACTGTCAAACAACTCTTCCCTCCTAACCGCCCTCTCATTTCCTCTTCCTTCTATGCTAAACCCATTATATCCTATTACCTTATATCTTATCACTCCATAACCTTTGATTACTGAAGGACATGAATCTAGAGGACTCTATTATCTTGGTAGTAGACCCTCGATATCTTGCTTAGAATCCCCATGTCCTAAGCTTTTGCATGACCGCTTAGGTCATCCAAATTTATCAAAAATAAAAAGGATGATTCCTTAACTTAGCAAACTTCAACCCTTAAAATGTTAGTCATTCTTAAAATTGAAACTGTAAAATAATTCTAGAGGGCTTGATTGATCCCTCTCACAATCTTCTA